GCCTTTCCGGGCGCGGGACGCCGGCCAGCTGGGCAGGAACTTTCTCCTCTTTTCCGGCGGGGGGGGGGACGGGGACTTCCAAGCAGGAGTTCCGGCGGCGCTGAGATTTTCCGGGCAGCAACCGGAGCTTCGGGACAGGGCTGGGAGGGGGGCTGGGGGCCACGCTTGCCGCCCCTGAGGGGCTCCTGGCGGCTGCACCCCGGGGAGATGCAGGTGGTGCGGACTTCCACCTGTCGACGGCCGGGCTCTTGGCTCCTCTTCCGCCGCCCCTCCCTCTCCCCCTCCCTGGCAGGGATTGCCCCTGCTAGAGGCGAGGCTGCAGCCGCCCGGGGTCCTCCCGCCTTTTCACCTGAGATGCCCCTGGGGAGGAAGGCCACCCGTAGGCCTCTCTGGGCTGCAGAAAAGCTGTGCTTCTAGTCCGTGTGGTCGGTGCCTTCCTCTCGAAAAGCTGCTTCCCTTCTCTTTCCACCACAGGAGGCCTCCCAGCCTTGGACTTTGGCTCCGAAGCCGGGCCTGAGCCAAGAGTATCTCCAAGGGCTGGACGGGCATCGTTTGGTGTGGTTGGATGTGGGACCCCTCCCGGGAAAGCGGAAGGCCTGGCTGCCCTCTTCTCTGGAATCTTCTGGGGCCCCATTTGCGGAACGCGCCCGGCCTAGGAAGGATCGTTGGGAGATTTGCAGGCTGGGGTGCAGGCAGAGCAGACACGGCCCCCGGGGGGTAGCAGTGGGCGCCTCCTGGGAGTGGCAGAGACGCTTGGCCGCCTCTTGCCTCTGCCCAAGGATCTTTGTTTAGGGCTGCTCTTCACAGAGGGGAGCCCCTGGGCTGGGGAGAGGCTTCTGGCCAGCCAGGGAGCCAAGGAGGAGGCTCAGGCATTCAGTTCAGCTGTCTCTGCCTTCCCCCGCCAGCCCCTGGTGCTCTCTCTGGCCCTCCTCCAAACCAAATGGCTGAGAGATGCCTGCATTGGGGGAGGAACTCAAGGATGAGGGTGGGAGTCTTTCAAAGAGTGCAGGGCTGGTCTTGTGGAAGGGACAATTGAAGCACCCAGGCTTCTCAGCAGCTCCTCCCATCCCTGCTAGCAAGCTTGGGGTCACTCCAATGGAGATGGCGGTGTTTCCTCAGAGGAGATTTCCTCCAGCGGTCCCTGGCTGTATGTCGAGGTAGGACCGGCATAGACGCTTTCACCGAACCCTCAGAACCGCTGCTCCTTGGTGCTGGCAGGCCTGCTCTTGCCACGGTTACAGGAAAGTCCTGGTACTGGACGCCTGTTTGCCCTGAATGTGTGAGCGCAGACCATGGAGTCAGAGGATTCCAACCCCAGGGTTGGAGACAACAGGGAGAGAAGGAGGAATTCTCTACCAGCTGAAGGGGACCTGCGTTTGCAGAAGAGGAGCTGTGTGTCCTGGGAATGGGGGGAAGGCCTTGCTGGATGAGTCCCCGGGCCCTCAAGCTTTGCTCTTGCCTTGCAGACACTCAGCGAGCTGTGGCGATCCTGGCCCGGTATCAGAGGATTTTGGGGTCCCTGGCGGAGCAGCCCCTGCGAGCCTCCATTGAGAAAGTGGTGCACGTATTTCAGAGCGAGCTTTTCCAGGCCCTGCTGGGTAAGGGTGGCTGGGAGCAGCCAAGAGCACAGGCTATGCCCATTCCTGGGGATGCACCTGGGAGCAGGCTCCCCTAAACCAGAGCTGCTGTTTGGGGGGTGATGCTCAGGCCTCCCCAGAGCCATGTCCAACAAAGACAGGAGTCTCTGCAGGATACGTTCTGCAGCCTCTGTGCAGTTACTCCCTCAGAGACATTTCCAGCTTCGAGGCTTGTAGCCTAATATGAGAAGCTCAGCCAGGTGGGGGCGCAGGAGAGGCTTCTCACGGGGGTGGGG